GTATTAAAAAGCAGACAAGTCACTTTACCAACAAAGGCCTGTATAGTCAAAGATATGGCTTTTCCAATAGTCACGTATGGATGTGAGAGTTGGACCATAAAGAAGGTCTAGCACAGAAGAATTGATACTTTCGAACTGTGGTGTTGGAGAAGACTTGAGAGTCCCTTGGACTGCAAGGAGATCAGACCAGTCAATCCTAAAGGAAATCAGTCCTGAATATTCACTGGAAGGACTGATGCTGAAGCTCCAATACTTTGGCCACCTGATGCGAAGAGTGGACTCATTGAAAAAGACCCTGATGCTGGGAAAGATTGAGGGCAGGAGGAGAAGGGGGCAACGGAGAATGAGATGCACCGACTCAACAGACATGAATTTGAATAAACTCCAGGAGATAGTGAAGGACAGGAAAGCCTGGAATGCTGCAGTCCATGGGGTCCCAAAGAGTCGGACACAACTTAGCTACTGAACAATGAACAACAACCTTCAAAATGCAATAAAGTGAGATGCAATAAAATGAGGTGTAATTGTACTAAAATTCAGGTCCATTCCATTCATCTTTATTGGTATCAGGTGCTTTGCTAGGCATTCCTGGCACGAGACAACAAAGCAGTCCCTGAGCTCAAGACACTTAGGAGCAGATTACATGGAAAAGCAGGGCAAGCAAAAGAAAAACTTGTAGATTTGACACATCTACTTACAAAGGGTTACAGGTTACCTGCCCGGGAGGCTATGTCCCTGCCAAGGTCTCCCTCCATTGGCTCTGTTGCTGGAGAGCTAACTACAGTCCCCACAGTTTCCCCAAGCTTCCCTTAGGAAACCCTGCCATCAGAGATGTATCAGGAATTCTGGTTTTTAAATTCCTCTCCTTACTACATTGTCCCATAATGTAGCCACCAGCCACAGGAAGCCAGACTGTTTACACTTAAACAAATTTAAATGCAGGACTCCTCTGGTAGGTAGCTCAGTGGTAAAAAATCTGCCTGCCAGTGCAGGAGACCTGGTTCAATCCTTGGATTGAGTTCGATCCTTGGGTTGGGAAGATTTCCCTGGAGAAGGAAATGGCAACCCACTCCAGTATTCTTGCCTGGGAAATCCCATGAATAGAGAAGCCTGGTGCGCTACAGATCATGGAGTAGCAAGAGTCCGACACGACTTACTCATCAAACAACAACAACAACAAATGAATGCAATTAAACATTCAGTTCCTCCACATCCAACCACATCTCAGGCATTCACTGGCCACTTGTGGCTAGTGCCCAGCACGCTGCAGACGCAGAGCATCTCCATCACTCTCTAACAGCCTGGTATGGGACATGACCTTCAACTTCATTTGGACCAACACCTAGGGGCTCCTACTAGGGGCCCATGCTGATGTCACGGTTGAGCCTCACAACTAGATGTGAATGTGAGCTTGAGCAGTAGACAAACCATGACAGTGGGGGACTTCCCTCACGGCCAGTGGCTAATACTGTGCTTCCCCCGCAGGGGATGCAGGTTCAGTTCCTGGTCAGGAAGTCCCACGAGCCATAAGGTGTGGCAAAAAAAAAAAAAAACCCACAATGGAACACCCGACAGGGAACAACCCACCAGTTGCCTTCGCTCCCTTGGCTGTCTGGGTCCAAAGCCGCCCTGGTCCAAGTCTGTAACCTCTGAAGGTCTCATTTTCCCCTATCTGTAAAATGACAGAGTTGGGCTGGGAGTTTCTAGGGGTCAATCCCATCTGACATTGTAGAACTCTGGGTCAAACAAGGGAAAAAGCAATTTGTTAACAAAATATGAATTAACATCACTAAGAATAAAACCAAAGAAAACGGCTCTTCTGAGACTTTAAATGCTGTTGCAGAACTTTCATGTGGGGCTCAATTAAAATAAGGGTGTATGGGACTTCCCTGGCAGTCCAGCTATTACGATGCCTCGCTTCCAATGCAAGGGACACAGGTTTGATCCCTGGTTGAATCCAAAATAGAAAAGAAGGAGGACCATGGAATATTACTCAGCCATTAAAAAGAATTCATTTGAATCAGTTCTAATGAGATGGATGAAACTGGAGCCCATTATACAGAGCGAAGAAAGCCAGAAAGATAAAGACCATTACAGTATACTAACACATATATATGGAATTTAGAAAGATGGTAACGATAACCCTATATGCAAAGCAGAAAAAGAGACTCAGATGTATAGAACAGACTTGTGGACTCTGTGGGAGAAGGCGAGGGTGGGATGTTTCAAGAGAACAGCATCGAAACATGTATATTATCTAGGGTGAAACAGATCACCAGCCCAGGTTGGATGCATGAGACAAGTGCTCGGGCCTGGTGCACTGGGAAGACCCAGAGGGATCGGGTGGAGAGGGAGGTGGGAGGGGGGACCGGGATGGGGAATACATGTAAATCCATGGCTAATTCATTTCAATGTATGACAAAAACCACTGCAGTGTTGTAAAGTAATTAGCCTCCAACTAATAAAAATAAATGGAAAAAAAAAAAGAAGGAGGAGACAGCACACCGCAGTGGCTTGCTGTCTAAAGTTCAGGCTCTGATGTAAACTGCTCCTTTTGTTTACAGGTGCCCAGCACTGTGCCAAAAGTTTTATATCTCACAGCAACATTGGGCACAAGACAAGAATACTGAGGACTAAAGTCCACAAAGACAAGAGGCATAACTGGGATTCCAACCAGGCCCTCAGCTTCCTGAGTCTGGGTCCCGCTTCTCAGACAAAAAGAGCTTCCCTTTACTTATAAGGTGGCAGTCATTCTGCCAGGGCCTGGATAACACTTTGTTTAGCACCTGGAGCACACATGATAAAATAAGGGTCAAAAAGTTGGGCAGCTTCCAAGATGCAAAGGCCATATTCACAGCTAGGCCTGGCACTGCCTTCCCCAGCCTTTAGAGCCCCTCTCCCTCCAACACACCTCCTTCTGAACCAAGAACATGAGACAACTCTTTTTTTTTTTTTTTTGAGACAACTCTTAATTGTCTAGGATGGTGGGGGTTGTGGGATCCTCTCTCTTCAAGACTGTGAACTCCCTAAGCTGGGGACCCTCCCTCGGGGCATTTCACACCTTGGAGGCAACCAGGGACACTTAATTAAATTCATGGCTGGGCTGCTCTAGGCCAAAAGGCTCTTCTTTCAACATGGGGTGTCTGCTTAGATGTCCTTAAAGGGCTCCAACCTGCTGCTACCTCCAATACAGTGTCCTGGGGTTTCTCTGGGCCAAGCCCTTGTGACCAGGGACCTCATCACAACCCCTTCCCACTCTCTTTGACAGTTGTGTTGGCCACCTGAGGCTCACCTCCACCAGGGATCCCACCCCGGTGTCCCAAATCCAAAACAATGTGCCATTGTGAATACTGGAAAGGCAGCCAGATAAGCAGGCACTATGAGCAAGAAGTGTGGGCCCATATGTAAGTGCCTAAGGCTGTTTGTTAACTATATTAGAAGCTGGTTTTTAAAAAGGTACTATGTATAGATGGGCTATTCACCATCCTGATGAAGTATTAATAAATAAAAGCCCAGCCTTCCATGAGTAGACTGAAATCAGTATCTGCTTTTGCAGGGAGCAGGAGGAAAACAGGTGGGACTGGAGACAGGAGAGCTGTCAGGAGCTGCACCCCCCCCCCCTCCTCCTGTGGCTGGATGACCTTAAGAGTCTCCTGGGATCCCTGTCATCCACCCTCCCAGAAATGCTGGGCAAACCAAACCAGATGCAAATAATGAACAAACCCTTTGCAAATGATGAGCTCCAAGGTCACCTGGCCATTATGAGGTAGAAACTGACCCCAAGGACCTGATTCCAGGCCTGTCTGTCTCTTAGGATCAGTTACTTGGATTAGTATCCCCCTAACCTAGAGTAGGTGGGGCCAGGACAGTCACACAGCCAATAACAAATCAATGGCACAAGGCTCCCTCAAAGATTTCCTCTCCCTAGAAGAGAAAACTGACCTTGAGGTTGGGACAGGACTCCAACTGAGTCAGAAGTAGGGCTGGGTTCAGGGGACTCCACGGATCCAGCACCGCGCGCCCAGCCTTTGTCTCTTCCGAGGAGATGTCAATATTCTCAGGAAATTACCTTGGTTTGAACCCAAGGTCAATGTGACGCCCAACCTAAGAATCTTAGGAGCCGAGCCCAAACAGGAAGGTGCTGTCACTGTCAGTGGTGTAGGAAGTACAGGCCCTGCCTGCAGGCCCAGAGCCTGCCGGGCCTTCCAGGCTCCTCACCCTTCCTCGGCTCAGGCTCAATACCCGCTTCCGTTCCGTCCGAGGGAATGGAAAGTAACCTTGAGGTTACCCTGCTCCGGTCGGAAATGAGCCGGCTTGAGGTCTTGGGCATCCCCGGGGCCTCTACCCACCAGCAACGGAGGAGGAAGGCTGGGGTGGGCCCCTGACAAGAACCCTTTACCCCCATACTGTAAGATGCTTTTGGGCTCAATGGACCATCCTCTGTTCTTAGCTCTGAGCTGTCAGAAGGGAAAGGTACTTCCTCTTCTTCCTGTTAACAGCCGCCTCCCCCACACCAAAACCTTGGCAGGGTACTGCAAGGTCTGCGTAGCTGCAGCCCTCGCCCACTCGGGCACCCACTCCAGGGCTCAAAGGATTCTGGCCGCCGCCCAGTCGAGTGGGTTACCTGCGCCGCACATGTCCGGGAATCCGGATGGCTTTGCACCACCGCCCGGATAACGACCTCGAATTAGGGGTCCCAGTGGGACCTGGGGTGAGGCCCCGGCATGCTCAGGCACCCGGCGGGGCGGAGCTGGGCGGGGCGCGGGGGGCCGCGCTCCGACCCCCGCCCTGGGAAGGGCGCCGCGCCGCTTCCTCGCGCAAACGGCCTGCGTGACCGCGGCGCCGCCCAAGAGATGCGCCGGAGGCCGGCGCGGCGGGCGGGTGGGATCCGGAGGTGACCGGCTCGGCGGAGGCGGGGACTGGGGAGAGGAAGGCGCGGGGCCGGTGGGGGTCCGCCAGGCCCCCTGGCCGCCCGCCCGCCCGCCGCGCGCTCCTCTTACCGGCAGATCTGGATGGCGGACGGTGTCTCGGGGACGGGGCCCGACATTGTGGCTGCGGCGGGCGGCTGAGGGAGCGCGCAGGTGTCTGGCAGGCCCAGCGCGGAATGAATGAGCCCGGGCGGCGCCATGGAGGGGGAGGGGGGAGGCGGAGCCATGGCTCCAGAGAGGCGGGGCCTGCTCGCCGAATGCGAATCGAACGCGGCCTCCCTCGAAGCTCCGCCCCGCATACCCGCCCTCGCCCCGCCCCCGGGCCGGCCTTCGCTCCCCCTGCGTCCGGTTCTGGCGGCGGCGGGGCCGTGGTGGGGCGCCGCTTCCAGAAGGTTCGGCGGCGGTTGGGCGGCGCCGACACGGGACTGAGTGGCCGCGAGAGTGAGCCTCGGCCCCCCGCTGAGCGTGTTCGTATGGGGCTTTCCCCTGCGCGTGTGACAGTTCGCGGGCCTAGGGGCGCGCCCACCGCGCGGCGAGGCCGTAGGCGGAGGCCTTGCCTTCCTCGTGGGCCTTGCCTTCCGCGTAGGCTGAAAGTCCAGCGGGAGGCCGCGGCCGGCACGGGCCTTCTCAGATCAGCCTTGAGAGGAAAGTGGGGGCGGTTTAACGTAAAGGAGCCTTCATGACTGAGCTGGGAGGCACGTGAGTGCACCAAGCCGGGAGCCCGGAACCATCAGGCCTCAGCGAGTGCCTCTGCTGCAGGGACACGCAACTGCTGGGGAGAGGCCAGGAACTGGGATCCGTCCACACCGCCCGCTGGAAACAACCTCTGGGTGGTTTCTGAAAGACTTGTCCAGAGAGCCGAGCCTTTGGTTAGCGATGCCTGTGCTGCAAAGAGGAGGCCTAAATTAGGTCTGTTTTGTTGCACAACGCCTGCCCTGTAGTGCAGTTCACGACCAAATCCGTGCAAGAAAGAGGGAGAAGTGATCACTCTGCCTGCGGAATTTTGGAGAACTTCTTACTCCGTGTGAGACTTGACTCTTTCCGAGCTTTTTACCAGGGACACAAATTGCTTCTGTACTCAGGTTTTTAACAATCAAAACCCACAGAAATCAAGCTTCCATATTTATTGTTGGTTGTTGAGTGGCTAAGTCGTGTCCGACTCTCCTGCAACCCCATGGACTGTAGCCCTCTCACCTCCCCACCCCCTTCAGGCTTATCTGTCCATGAGACTTCCCAAGCAAGGATACTGAAGTGTGTTGCCATTTCGTTTTCCTCCCCCATTTGTAATAATTAAATCGCTGGAAGCATCTAGGGTCACCAAGCCTGTTTTAACTTCTTCCAATATGGGTCCTGAAATAGATTTCTTGTGATGGAACCCAGGAGCACTAGCAGGCTCTGCAGTCTTAGGCAAGGAAGATTCCTTATCTATAAAAATGGTTAATAATAGTCACCTTCTTCCCTGGTGGCTCAGACGGTAAGCGTCTGCTTGCAGTGTGGGAGACCCAGGTTCAATCCCTGGGTTGGGAAGATCCCCTGGAGAAGGAAATGGCAACCCACTCCAGTACTCTTTCCTGGAAAATTCCATGGACTGAGGAGCCTGGTGGGCTACAGTCCATGGGGTTGCAAAGAGTCGGACACGACTGAGCAACTTCACTTTCACTTTTCCAGACCTGTGGGGAGATGAAATGAGTTCATCAGGGATAGCAGGTGAAGAAGTTAGGGCCTTTCTTACTCTCTCTGCTCGCCTTCCCTGCTGATTCCCACTCTCTCAACAGCCATTCCAGGACAGTCAGTACAAAGGAGTGAAGATTTCCTGAAGCCCTGCACTACCTGTGTAGGTGGGCGCAGGACTTTGAGACTTGGAGACATTCCTTTCTTCAAAAAGCTCAAAATCTAATTGGGGGACAAAGCCAGGACACAAAAAACCTGACTCCTACCACCTGCTGAGGAAATTCCTAGACTGGGGACTGGGCTGAATGGTTTAGGATCAAATAGCCAGGTCCCTCCCAGGATGAGGCAAAAAAAAAAAACAAAAAAAAAAAACCTGGAGCAAAATCAGCACCTTTGGAAAAGGATGTGGCTACCCTTTGGCCCAAGACAGCATCTGTCGGCAGTTTGGTGTGAGAAGGCTCCCTAGTCCAGAAGAAGCCAGGGAAGAGAACAGCTCAACCCACTTCTGATTGTGTCCTGGATTCTGTAGGGAGAAAAACTATAGTCCAGGGTGATCCACTTGTGTGTGATTGCCAATGGTTTATGATGTTGCTCTGCTTTAAAGGAGAACAGTGGGGGACCCAACCCCTTAGCAAAAACATCATGAGATTTACACTGGTCGAAAAGAGTCTGTCACCTCCCCATTTTAGGGTTATTTTTTTCCTACTTTCTTCTCAAGCTAGTGGGGCCATTTCCATCCCTCTCTTTCAGGGAAACTTCTCAAAAGAGCTGTTTATAAACACAGCCGCTCTCCTCTTCCCCTGCTTCCGTTCTCTTTGGAACCCACTCCACTCTAGCTTTTGTCTCTTCCGCTCAATTTATTGAGGTCACTAATTCCTTGCAAGTTGCTAAATCCAATAATCCTTTGTCAGAAGTCATTTTACTTGACTTCTCAATAGTATGGAGCTGGCATGATCCTTCTCTTCTTGAAATGCTTATTCCATGCCACGTACTCCTACTCTTCTGGCCTCTCTGTACAGCTTGCTGTGCTGGTCCATCTCCATTCCTTCCTCTCAGGACTTTGGAGAACCCCCGAGCAATGTTTGGACTCTTGGGGGCTCATCCTGTTTTATGGCTTTAAATCCTATCAATTGGACAACTACCTACCAGATGTCTCCAGCCTAGACTGCGCCCCTAAATTCCAGATTCATGTGTCCCTGGCCGAGGCCACACCTCACTATGGTTATGTGATAGATATCTCCCATTGCCACAGACTTGGTCCTCTTGCAGTCTTCCCCCATCTTGGTAAATTACAGTTCCTTCCTTCCAGTTGTTCAAGCTTACAATTCCTCTCACACCCTTCTTCCAGCCCATGGGTGAATCCTGCCAGCTCTATGTTCAAAATAAGTCTGGGACTTCCCTAGTGGCTCAGTGGATAAGAATCCGTCTGCCAGTGCAGGGGACACCTGTGCATCCCTGATCTAGGGAGAGTCCACATCCCTCGGAGCAACTAAGGTGTTTGCCACAGCTACTGAGGCCGAGTGTTGAAACTACTGAAAAACCCTGCCCCCTAGAGCCTGTGCAAAGAGAGAAGCCACCACAATGAGAAGGTGGCCTACCACAACAAAGAGTAGCCCCTGCCTCACCACAGCTGCACTTCCCTGGTGGCTCAGATGGTGAAGTATCTGCCTACAGTGGGGGAGACCCAGGTTCTAATCCCTGGGTCGGGAAGATCTGAAGAATGAAATAGCAATCCACTCCAGTGTTCTTGCCTGGAAAATCTCATGAACAGAGGAGCCTGGTAGGCTACAGTCCATGCGGTCTCAAAGAGTCAAACATGACTGACCGACTTCACTTTCACTCTTCACCACAATTAGAGAAAGCCTGTGCAAAGCCACAAAGACCCAGCTCAGCCAAAAATTAATTAAATTTTTTAAATGGCTAGAATGTGATGATGTTTCCCTATGATTCCAGAATCTGCCCATTCCTCCCTTCATACGTGTGACCTCTGATCCTGCTCTCCCCCTTGCTCATCCCCAGCCATTTGACCCCTCCCACGGTCCCCAGATACCTGAGCCACCCTTTCCTCAGTCACCCGTGGGCTCACCAGCTCACATCCTCAAGTCTTTGATATCATGTTCTAAATGAGGCCTTTCCCCACCGTCCTATCTAAGTTACAAGCCTTCCACATTCCCTATCCTCTTTTCTGGCTGATTTTTCTCCTTTGCACCTAATACCATTTATTTATTTTATTCCTCAATTTAGTTTTTCTCACCTAACTAGAATGAATGTGCCATGTGGGCAGGAATTTTTTACTGTCTTGTTCATGGTGCTATTCCAAGCTCCTAGAAGAGCACATAATAAGCAATATATATTATAAGAATGAATCAAGAGAGGTTTGCTAACAGCATCATATTTAGCAGCAGCAGTTACTTAATTTGCACATACTTTCTTTGGACCAGAAATATTGTCTGCAAATTGTAATAAAAAGCATCATGTAAAAATTTATTCAAAATTTTTTGGAAAGACATAAACTTGACACTTGTAAACTTTGAGGGAAAGGACTAGGGGGTAAGCCCTAAAGAGAGGCCTCATCTGTTTTGATTATTTTTTCATGTCACTATAGACTAATGAATATGAAGCAACAGGTATTCACATACACCAATGGTGGAATATAAATGGGTATTATCTCTTTGAAAATTAACTGAAGATAATTACTTAGATTGAAAATAAGGGAGAATTCCCCAGAGTCCTAGTGGGTAGGTAAGAATCCACCTACAATGCAGGAGACGTAAGAGACATGGATTTCATCCGTGAGTTGAGAAGTTCTCCTGGAGAAGGACGTGGCAAACCACTCCAGTATTCTTGCCTGGCAAACCACTCCAGTATTCCTGTCCACTTCCCGTGGACAGTGAACCCTGGTGGGCTACAGTCCATGGAGTCACAAAGAAACACAACTGAAGCGACTGAGCACACATAGGCACTAAGGGTTAGAATTCTGGGCTTTCACTGCAGTTGTCCAGGTTCAGTCCCTGGCTAGTGTGGTGACCCAAGGACAAAAGAGCAGATAAAACCAAGGAGGGTGTTGGAATGCAGGAACAGAAAAACCGGACCCTTATTGTCCTTCCCTCCCCCATGTTGCAACTATTAATGGAACAGTATAATCTGTCTCCCCTCCTGCCCCATAGGGAGAAGGTATTTGCCCTACTCTTCCCCCACCCAGTATACATGCCTCATCCAATCAGCAAATGACCCACAAGACCCCTATCCCACTCCTTGTACCCTGGGTATAAAAGTGGACTAAGGACCCCTGTTCAACGTCGGTTCTCCCTTGAGCTGGACGCTGTTCTAACAGCGTCTCCCACTCTAATGAACTTTATTTCCCTCTCATTCTGGAAATCAGTCCTGAATATTCATGGGAAGGACTGATGCTGAAACTGAAACTCCAATACTTTGGCCACGTGAAGCAAAGAACTGACTCATTGGAAGAGACCTTGATGCTGGGAAAGATCGAAGGCAGGCAGAGAAGGGAACGACAGAGGATGAGATGCTTGGATGGCATCACTAACTCAATGGG